AAACTAAACTGGTCTGGCAAGGCAGATGTACAATCTAATTCTCTATTTGCAAACACTACCAAATTAAAGTGATGGCGTCAGAGAAAAACTGAAGAGCAAAGCAGCATACTCACTACACTTTCATGGGAAAGCTTTAAACATTTTTATGTATAGAAAAAAAATCTCAAACATCTTCATGAGAAGGAAGCTTAAGCAGTATTCATTCATTCATTCATTCATCCATTCATGTACTTAATTTACATGTACATGCAAATTATTTGAGTACAACTGAAGAGGTGTGGCTAGAATTTGAACAAACAAAAAATTGATAGCCCCCCAGAAGCAGAAATACTGGGCAGCCATTGCCACTCCTAGGGCCAAAAAACCAAGGGAGTAAAGAAGTTTCTGGAGCCCAGTGAGAATAAGAAACATAGGTGAGGCGACAGTTAGGGGAAAGCTAAAATCACATAGCGATACTGCCGGGGCTTTGCACTGACTTAGGAAGGGAGTGAGGAAGTAACACAACTACTATTCTGTCCTTCTAGGTTCTGCCAATGCCAACCTTTGGCCAAATGCAAACAGAAACCAAGATGGTAAGGAGTCTGGAGAACCATTCCAAAGGGCACTTTCTAGAATGCAGCAGGAGAAATCAGAGAAGGTTCAGTAATAGACAGGGGAAGAGGGTAAAATAAGTATTACCTGGATTTCAGTCTTTTACTTCAACTTTATTTAAAGTATATCAATTACAAATAACAAACCCATTGATCTGACTATATTCTTAAAGACCTTAGAAAAGTTCTTCGACCATTTGAGGAAAAAATGTATTTGTGCAGATCTATAAAATGTAATTTCTACTCAGAAGGTTTATACTTAGAAGAGAGAAACAAGCATGCTAAACATAAGATAAGAAACAGCGAGTTTCTTCAGAACATTGGCTTTCTTCTTGATGAGTCAAGACACCATTTTGCGATGTCTTTTTTAATATTTACGGGAAGAATGGTGAAGATTATTATTAGTTTTTCCTCAAGGAAACCATAAAGAGAATTGCTGCTAACATGTTCCCTATGTTGGCTCATGTATGTCCTTCAATGCACTTCAAGTCCATATGGAAAGGGGGATCATTTCTTGGTCTACACTTGCAAGTAAGAAGGAAACCTAGAACTGCCCCTTCTTCAGTAAAATTATGATACTGAATAATTTTCAATCCTCTTCTCTCTTCCAAGAAAAAGTATAGCATTCCCTACTTCCCCAAACATGCTTTTTTCATTTCTCCCCTGCTAAATATTACTGCTTTCCTGGAAATCTCTTTGATGACCCAAAGGATCTTCAAACTTAACATTATTAGTATATTTTAAACTGAATTAGTTTTCCAGCCGCTTAACCCCCTCCTCTTCCTCAAGACACAGTCACCCCCAGCATCCATCAGTCACCCAATCTTTTATTCCACTTCTACTCTTTTTGACTCTTCCCTCCCCTTCCCAATAACCCAGGGCTGCTCATTCTGCTGCCCTTTCCAAAACTGAGAACAAGCACAATAATTTCTAGCATGCGTCGAGCACTTAGGATATGTTGGAGATGGTACTAAGCACTTTATATGTGTGACCTCCTTTGATCCTGACTACACTCTCATGGCATTTATCACTAAATGATGTAGAAACTGTACTCAAGGTTACAGGGCTAGTATGTGGCAGACTGAGAGTTTAGATCTAGTGCTCTGCCTACCTTTCTGGCTTGATCAATTCAAAATTTCAAGACTTAGTTTAATGGATTTATTATTTAACAAAACCTTCCCAATCTCTCCTATCCTTTCTTTTCCTATGCTCTCCACGTTTTTCCATCCACATTGATTACAATACACACTGTTACTTATGCATTGGGTCATTTATTAGTTCCTTCAATAAATGTATTGTGAGAGCACACTCCACCTGACACAGTGCGCGATACAGGTTATCAGCAGTAAGCAAGCCTGGGCCTGGCCTCCTAGAGACCAGTGGGGAAGAGATTTTGAGCAAATAACCATACAAATACACCGTAAAATCCCAGATGATAATCACTATGAAGAAAAACTTCAGCGGCAGGTGATGTGTCTGTCTCCAGGTGTCACATGAGTGCCATTAAAACCACAGCCTCAATTTTTTTATTTCCCCACCACTCACTTGTTCCCTCTACTGATATGTAGTTGGAATTGAATTAATAAATTATAGGAACTGTGTAGGTTAGAAATTAGATTTCTAATTGGAAAATGAAATGTAACCTTGTGGAAATGGAATGGTAAAGCTTTTTGGTCTCATGATAAGTTGATGGGACAAGAAGACAAATGATTATCAATGAAAAAGACTGGATTTGACCAAAGCCAAGTTTGTCTCAATGTAAATCTCTCAATTCAGGAACGTACTTGTTATATTTGATATAGTATGAGTGTGACAGAGTTCAGGACATAGTAAAAAGCTCTATTTATTCAAACTTTTGCCAGAAGGGAGATGTTGAGTGAAGGCTTGGAAGCATAAACTGGCACCTGAGAGTTCTTGTTACTGCTTGTTGATATATTCTGTTTACACCTTTTCCATCTGCTGGGCAAAAAAATTTAACAAGTGGTATTTACAAAAAAAACCCCAACAGAACCTACTCAAATGAAATTCCAAAATATGATGATATTTTAGGTCTCAAATTTCTTGTGAGATACAATCAAAGGTATTTCTTGTTCTAAAATAGCTGTGATATTGTCAAGTAATTTTAATCTTATATACTAAATGCATCTGAATTGACAGCAGAAGCCACAATGAATGCCCCAAGCATGGCATTTTGGATTGAGGTATTGTAACTCAATGACTCAAAAAGAATAACATTGAAGTATACATTACAAACGTTTTATCAGTAGATACAAAACTTGCTTTAGGCTATAAACATTATAAAGAGATTTTAAATTGCTCAGACATATTACCCATTAATAGCAACCTTTTTTTTCTTCTTTCTGTTTCTGCATTCAAGTACTTGAATTTACTATTCTTAAAGTTAGATAAAATATACCAATTTGGAAGTGGGTTCTGTTATTGGGGAAATGGAATTAAAAAATACAACAAATCTAAAAAATATTCATTGGTTCACTACAAAGAACAAAGACCTTAGTCTCAGTTTAGGGTGCTACTGTAATCATGGGTATTGCAGCTGTTTTGCTGGAGTATCTATGGCCCTACTCATAGTATCCAGACAGGTACAGACATGTAAATCAGGAAATTAATGTTAATGTGAGAGCCTGGAGTTTAATGATGAAAAATGTTAAGTAAATATTACACTAAATAGTCAAATCTTTTCTTCAGAAATTGTTTGAATTAGCCCTAGAACTCTTGTACAATATAAAACAGAGGGACTATTTACATATTTCGTTATAGATCTTCTGTAAAAGAAGATTAACAACCATAATCATCCTTCGAGTCTATGGTAGCTTTATTAGTCTTGAAAGTTGCTTAATAGTTAAACTTTATATTGAGTTTTCATTCCTCACCCTTTCTTGTGGATTTTAACTGCTTCATAATCATTAAATTTTGTATTGAATTCTCCTCTCCCCAAAGCAAATTCCCTTCTCCTCTGCTTATCAAAAGTAAAAAAAAAAAAAAAAAAAAAAAAAGGAGTTTATTAGGTTTGAGATCTTGATCCAGTTGCTCTCTGCCTTTCTTCTTACCTACAACCCAAATGATAAACAGTAGAGAAAACTACTTGCTAAACCATAATCCTCTCAAAGCTACACAATGAGGAATGTAGCAGCCACCGCTTCCAAGCCACGGAACATTGGTGAAAACTTACCTTAAATGGGGATGCCTTCAAACAGCCTTTGAAACCACTTTATCCTGCCATTCTGTTGCAATGACAAGGATGAAAACTACTGCCAAAGGCCTCATCATTTTTCCACCTCATTTACTGCAAAGGCTCCCAATTCTGCTGCACGTTAGAGTCACCCAGTGAGGCTCAGAAATTTGCCAGCCAATTATTCTGGGGTGGGCCTAGGGCCCTGGCGTGTCTGAAAGCTCTCCAGGAAACCCTGGTGTGCAGCCAAGGCTGTGAATCAGGTCGGCTCCCGTAGTTGCTACCTTCTGTTCTCCGGTGACACCGTCTACTAGTGCCGTCACAAGGGTCTTTCTGTATTGCTTATAGAATCAAATTAAAACGTGCTTCTGAATACAGCATAAGAGACTCAACAGGACTTGCTCTTAAATACCTGAGCAGCGGCCTGTCCCCTACTCTGTCTCTCTCAGCAAGGTCTCCTAAGCGCCCATTTCCTACATGCCTGCCTCAGCCTCCAAGCCTCAGCACCGACTCCTCTCTTGCTCTGAAATGCTCTCCACTGTTTATCTGCCGAGAGAATGCATCTTCTCTATGAAGTCTCTCCTGACATCATAACCCCCCTTCTCTATCATTGTTCTCAAGATGCAAGAACAATGGGTTTCATGTTGTGTTTGTCTGATTTTTTGGCTAATCATATCGAACTGTCGTTTTAGAGCGTACATCTCTCATCATTGTTAGACACTTTTTGGAGCAAGAACCATGTCACATTTGCCTCTGTATCCTCCAAACTTAGCACAATGCCTAGCATATGCTGATACTGTGCATTTGCTGAATAAATGCCACTTTATACCATTTTTACTTATTACACAGGCAGGGCCAGAGGAGATTCACATTGGGTTTACTGAGCAAGTGAAGCTTATAATAAATTTAAAGAGAATCTTAGTAGTTATTTAATATTTAGTAACAGTAGGGACACTTACTTTAAAGATTAGCCTATTAATTATGCTACTAGATGAATGTGAAACATGGCTAAAGTCAAAGAAAGACCTTAATTAAATCCTCAAGAGTTCTCTCTTATCATCAGCCTCCCCAAACCATACGTTTCAGAATCAGAGCCAATATATACTCACCTTAGACTCCAGTAAAGGAAGGAAGCCCACTTAATGCCCACCACAAGTTGGCCTAATTTGGCTGCTCCCATCATGTGACATCTAACCCATAACTCTGGTGAACATGCTTACTTTGTATTTGCTTTCTGATCTGGAAGGGGTGGGAATATGTCCTTTTTTCTTGAAGGTTGTAAAGTGCTTGCATTGAGGACATGGCTTGGTGCTGGAATCAATACGGCCAAGTTCCAAGAAGTATTTATATTTGATGGAGTCTTCATGCGTTAAGTTATAGATAACCGTCGTTTCCTCCAGGAATTCAAAGCATTCTGTGATAGGGCATTTGATTTCTACTTGGCCAAGCTGTACCTGCGTGGAAGAGCAGATGGGAGAAAAAACAAAAGACTTTGGTTATTATGTGTCTCTTCTTTTCTTTTTATATAGTATTTTTTATTGAATGATTATAGTAAAGAATTCCCTGCTATTTCTCATGATTCCTAACATGGTAAATAGTAATCACTTTGGTACCGATGTTGAACAGTACCAAAATAATTAATCATTATGTAATGTTTCCAAAATGATTTATAGGGGGTTTAAGCATTCTGTATCATGGTAGTATTTGTGAGCTTCAATGACCTAAACCACAGGCTCACCAAAGAAGCAAATTATCCTATTCTCTGGAAACCCCAAGGTGAGACAGCATTCAGACAATGCGCCACTGAAGGAACAGCTGGGATGCCACAGCGTTTCGGATTTTTCAACCTCACTACAGAATACCTCACCACGGAACTTCAGGCACATTTAACTCTTTTAAAAGGACAAAAAAGTGTGTGTGTGTGTGTGTGTGTGTGTGTGTATCTTAGTAATTTAAAAATTATTGCCAAAAATAACTTTATTTTCCCTGACTCTTCCATGTTAAGAACATACAAGAACAGTTCTTATATGAATCACAGGAACAAGTAAGAAAACTAAACCAATCACAACAGTGTAAAAAAAACTCCTAATGAGATCTGTCTACTAGTTCAGTAATTTATAAAATGAATTTCTTCCAATGATGATGGAGTTTGATTAGGAGAGGAGAAAGATACATTGGAATGCTACATTTTGCATTGCATGTGGGATTCAGATATGGCTACCATTAAAGATTACAGTGTAAGACCAAAGCACAGAGCGTGGACACACCTACCTTTGAAACAATAAAGAAAATAAACTAGTTTGGAATAAGGAGTACCTAGAATGTTCTCTGTAAGTAGTGAATAAGAGCTCTTTATATTCATGGCATCATAATCTCTTTTGCTCAGTGTAATCTAGCAAGGAGGTCAATAACAGGCCAAATGGCAAACCATGCTAAACCATTTCTTTCTCAGTTGGGTGAACCCGACATTGTGAGAAGGGAAACAGGTCAATCTCAATGGAAAATGTCTGCTGTGAAGACTGAGGGAGGAATGGGGAAGAGCTACACGGTGGGCGTGGGGGGAGAAAAACATCACCACCAAGAACAACGAAAACAAGAGCAACTCTAAACTCCTTACAGTTCTTTTAACTTTGCTCTTTATCTGGCAGAGACTTGAGGAAAGATGGATGGTTAAGAAGCTACAGGCTGCAGGATGCATGGGAACAATATATTTAATACTAGTAAAAGACATGAGTCAGACGGAAAATGAAATGAAAGAGTCTGTCTTTGGATAAACCTCCTGATTAGTACCCATCTGTTGAAAATGTAAATTACTGCATAATTTTATGCTACTATTGTATAAAATATGGTCCAGAGAGATTTTTCAAATATTGGCCTCAAATGATTTTTTCTACTTTTTTAAATGAGTCTGCCTATAGTTAAAATCAGATTTTATTATACTTGTTACAGAGTTGTAACAATGTTATTATGTTTTATCAAAAAATATTTTCACTTATAGGTCAAGACGGAGGTCCTCTGAAAATTTTTAAATAGACAAAAACCATGTGTGATATTATAAGAAACTGGTTTAATGAGATGTACACGACATTTTAAAATTAATAAATGTTTCCTCTTTTAACATTCTGTTGGCATTTATGGAGCCCATTTCGGAGCCCATTTTGGAACCCGGTCCTGGGTCAGGCACTGAAGCTTTGCAAGCATCTGGCAATAAAGAGGCAACTGTGATACAAAGTGCCTGACAGGATATGGGGGAGGTTTGGTAACCACGCGCTTGAGAGGTTTAGAAGAGGCTTCTTGGAAAACCTGAGGTTTCAAGAGAGATCGTAAGATTAGTAGGACTTACAAACAAGATTGAAGGTGTTTCAAGCAGACCGAAGATAGGTGGGCAAAGGCCTGGAGGTAAAGAGAACACAACACAACATAGCCGGGATACCCACATCTTTTCCACATCCCAACCGGATCCAATACACACTGTCCTCAGTTATGTTACGCACCCTAACATAAAGATGGCAGCCTTAGAGGAACTGAAAGATAAGCAGTAAAGAGTGAAGTACAAAGTGTGAGTTTAGAAAGAGAAGGTGGTACAGCTGAGCTGGGCTCAGAGCACAGGGGCAGAGCATGAAGCCATCTTAAGAGTCTGGATGCTTTTCCTATGAAAATAGAAAACTGTGGTTTTAGGGCGTGGAAGGTGATTTCTTTTCATTCCATACAGAAAGGGCTCGTTTGGGTCATCTCAAGAGACTTTTATGTATTGAGAAGCAACATACTTTACGGGGTAACAGCCGGAATTTTTTAATCCCAGTTCACTGTTTTAATCTGGCCTCCCTCACCTATAAACTTATTTATTCTAACTGTATCAATGATAACCATGAAAACAGTAATTTCACAGTCACCCAGGAACAGTCAGGTCCTGTGGAAATGGAACATCGTTTAGGGATGAGGACAATGCGAGGCAGCTTAAAGGAGGAGGTTGCCTCGTCACTCCTGCAGCAGCGGTGTTCTTTACTACACCACATTAGGGTGCCTACCATCTAACTCCCAACCAAGGACCTTGCTTTCCTCTTCAGTATTTCTCAAATCTGCAGCAGATCTATTCCATTTGCACAGAACACATCATTTCCTTGTTTTTACACTCTTTGCTTTTTGCCTATTCTATTCCTTCTTTCTGAAAGCTCCAAAATCCCTACTCCACTACACTGAGCCAAATGATCTCGTATTCTATTAAACAGAAGCACTATGATCGTGTTCCCTGATTTTCGCACAGCAAACTGTCCCTGTCCACATCTGCTCCCATCTGTGTTGTCCTTTTACCGTGCAGGACCTGAATCTACCTTCCAGGACAAGCGCGTGAGTCTTTTGACGTGTTTGTTGAGAATTCAAGTTTCCTGGCCCACACAGCACCTACGAAATTTTAATCACTGCTGATAAAGTTAGTCATTGGCAGTTTGAAACAATTACTCATACAATCCTTTGAATTACCCATACTTGTCCATACTAGCAATATCCTCTTTTTATAATAAAATGTTACCAGTGGCCTATGACTCCTGGCCTCTACATGTCTATCTTTTTCAGAATAATTTCCTGAAAAGATCACTAGCAAACAAGTCATCATGACTAAGCAAAGTACATTCATTTATTTGTTAAAAAGATACATATTTCATCAGTTCAAGCATGCATTTTCCCCAACATTTTAATATCTCAAAAGTCAAGATTATCTTACAATAAATAGTCTTTAGCATTGTGCCATAGTTTAATTTGCAGTGTTTTAATTTTCTTAGTGGCTCATAATGTAATACTGCATCCTACATTTGATCATATCTTAGATTTAAATAAAATGTGTTTTTTATGGGTTAGGCAGAGTAACAGACTCTAGAGAGAATGAGGAGACAGACAGGGCTTCTATTGGAGGAAATGTATGATAAACAAGTAAATAAACAAAGCAGACTGTAATCTGATTGTTATGAAGGGACTACACATCAGGGGAGGTATCTCTGAAGGGTGACAACTTGAACGGAGAACTAAAGGGCATGTAATGCAGAGAACTGGATGGAAGGATGGCAGTCAAAGGAAACAGGGACAAGGGCCCCAGGGCAGAAGGTGCCCGACGTGCCTCATGCGCCTGTGTTCAGAGAACATAATTGAGTTACTGAGACACATCGTAAATGAGCCAGAGCTCACAGGCCTTGTGGGCTGTGATAAGAAATGTGAATTGTATTCTAAACTCAGTGTGAATCATTGACTGGCTTTATGATGAGTGGCACGCTCCGGTTTCCATTAAAAACATCATTCAGAGTCTTCCTGGAGAAAGGACTGTAGAAGAACAAAAGCGGAAATTGGGAGACTAGTAGGACTCTGGATTGCACCTGTTCTTCCCAGAAGTAGCATCTGGCTGTGGCAGTTGTCCAGCAGTAGATGACAGAAGATTGTACCAGGCAGCCAGAGGCAGGCAGATAAGGTTTCTTATGGAAGTAAAACCAAAAGGATTTTGGTGATGGATCAGATATGGAAGATGAGGTACAGGAAGAAATCAAGGATGATTCTATGTTTTGCTTGAAATAACTTCATGACTGGTGCGTGCTACTTACTGAGATGTTTTCAATAAAATATAGTTTAAGTGGGTATGTGATATTTGCTGGCAATGATCCACTACAAATTTATGATAGTGCCAAGAATAAAGATCACAAATTCATCCAAAAAACATTTGAGCTCCTACAATATCACATGTAAATGACATAAAGCAGTTGAAGTCCTGGGTCTTGCCTTCAGGAATTTGAGGATACTGCAATTATATTTGTGTTGACAGCTTTTTCTAGCAACTTGGGATTTGATTGTACTAATTCATTTAATATTTTCCCATTGTTTTAAATTTTTTATTAGGGATAATTATAAACATATGCAAGAGTTGGCAGATTGGTATTATAATCCCTTAAGCACTCATTCTCCAGCTTTAACAGTAATCAACTCCTGGCCAGTCTTGTTTTTCTTTCTGTGCCCTGTCCCATGTATGGTCCTTCCCATGTTATTTTGAAGCAAATACCAGAAATCACATAATTTCATTCATAAGTATTGCAGTATGGGTCTATAAAAAACATTACCATGATATCATATATCTCCCCAAAAGACCATAATTCTTCAGTATCAATTTAACAGTTTAAATAACATGTCATCTAAATACCACTTACAGGATTTTGTGTACTTAATATACTTAAAAACAAGATATTTTAAATTTCTGTTGTGTTCAAAGCTAATACTACCGTTGAAATCACTGGAAAATACACTCTCCAGTTCTTTTGAACAAAACATTCCATTCTCGTAAGACAAAATTACGTATCTCTAAAACAATCTCCAAGGGTGTTAGTAAGAGAGACTTTCTTCCACTTAATGCTCAAGCTGGATGGCTAATTTGCCACCTGGGAGAGCTCAAAATTAAATTAGTGACACAGGTGAAGGAGAG